ATCAAGAATTCAAATCAATAGCAGAGACACCACCAGATTTAAAAACCTATTTAAAAACTGCATTAAAAAGCAGTTACATTGCCAATTGACAAGATAGGAACAGTTTCCCTAGCAATTGTTGAGAGTACAAACTAATGAACCATGTGGAGAGAAGATGGAGCACCGGGGGCATTTGCACTGTTGGTTTTAACAAGTACAGTCATGTCACAAGGACTTGAAGGAAGCATTATTAGCTTAAAGAAAGGAAAATGTTCCTTTTTCCTCCCCCATCGCTTTTCAGCGGGCTTTTCACACTAGCCTAAGGAAGCCCTGATCACTGCTAGAAAGTCCAAAACCAGAGTAGTAGAGGGGAGACTAGAACAGCTACAAGATTATTTGCTCGAGCAAAGGGAGCAGGAGGTGCTCATCAAAAATAGACCTTCATCCACGGCTTCTAGGAGATGGAAGAAAGAGCAAATAACAGAGCCTTCCCTGGCCCCAAAGGGACAAGCAGTTCGCAGAAGATGTGCGCTGATTACCAAAGGTTTACAGGGGAGCCACAGTAACGACAAGGGGTCTGGAAAACAGGATCCTCAAGGTGAGGCAGAAGGCAACGGGGCCATCAATCTCCTCAAAATCTCTTGTAAAGAGGAAAAGAAACAGCCCTCCTTGTCAACTGGGATTGCAGGGTTAGAAGCTATAAGCTACAACTGAGGCAAGATGAGACACCGGAAAAAACCTTCAAGGCACTGGACTGAATTCACAGTCAGGAAATCTGGGAAATCTCCACTAGCAGAGGGGCTTCACCAAGAGGCAAGACAGTCATCGGTCACAAACTGTGCTGGCAAAGCTGACCCTGCCTCAGAGCAGGGAGAGGGGACACACAACCTCTTCCAGTCACTTCCCGCCTCATTTTCTGCAATTCCAAAATAAGTCATTGGGCAAGGTAACAAAAGCTTTTCTTAGGGTTATCAGGCCCAAAGAGCTATACAGTTGGGCTTGTGAGACTTTGGATTCAGATGCAAAACTGGCTCCTACCACTCCACCATGCCCAGACAGTCTTTACTGACCTCATCTATTAAACCCCCAAGAGGTAACTATGGTGAGCGACCAAGACTTGCAAGAAATGGAGTGGCAAGGTTATTTCACAGCCCCTGTGGGTGAGGGGGATAGAGAGGGGGGGGGGGGGGGGGAGGGAAGAAGAGGGGGCAGGCTCCACTGTTGTCCTGAGAAATGCAGCCTAGCAACCCGAACACAATAAGGCACAGAGCACACACGCATTGCCATACAAATGGGGAGATTTCACAAGACTCTCTCCACGCGGTGGGAGCCAGTAGAAGGGCTAGTGGTAAGTAGTTCTTTTCATATCTCTGATAACAGAGATCACTAGCATTGACTGCTTTCCTTTGTCCAGGTATCACAGTCTAAGTTTTCCCTACAAAACTATTGCCTAAAAATAGGCTGGGAAGAGAGACCTTCTAGCTGCTAGACTCAATTTGCATGAACTGTCTTAAGAAAAGGTATAGCACAAGACCAGAGCTGTACAAAGAAGAAGGTGGATTCATAAACAAAATGGCTCCAAAGATCTCAAAGCCCAGTACACACTGCTGCTGCCTGAGAGTGTTTGAATATTTGCACCCACCTTTCTTTGTTTATCATTCGCTTTTTTTAAACAAGAAATAACAGTACCAGCCAGATACTTTCTTGTCCTTCCTCACAAGGCAGGATATGGAGTGCTTTGCAGGAACGACATCTTCACCTAAGGTACTCATCCTGAGGAAAAAGTACATCTCCATAGTTTTGCTGCCAGCATCTGACTACGCTTATACAATTAACAGAGCCTCTGGGAGCAGAGTCAGACCCTAGGTGCCCAATCTTCCTCAATCCAGCCCCAACTTACTGCTTGGCAGGATATACCCCATATACCTCAGAGAGGGGAAGCAGGAGGAAAGGGCAGATGGCCTGGGAACACTGACAGCTCCCTGGGGAAACCTACCTACCCAACAGGGCACCAGGCTCCACTGACAGCCCCAGATGCAGCAAGGGGATGAACCAGGTCCAGGGTCCCTCCAACCAGGAGCAGCCAGAGATAGTGCAGCAGCTAAGGCTGCAAAATGGACCTGAAGGGCCCATCCAGGGCATGGGACTGGGCTTAAATGGGGTGTGGGCAGGTGGGTGGCCACCAGGTGAGGCTGCTCAGGGCCGCTAAGGCCCGTTAGTGCCCTCAGGGCCTGTCATCAGCTTTATGCTAGGCACGTGCTTGGCTCTCCTGGCCTGAAGGGTCCTGGTGGCCAGCGTTGTCTGTAGGTGGCAGGCACTGCTAGGAAGCTTTCCTCCGTGTTAAAATACATCTTTTAGCAGGAAGAGCATTTGCACAGGTTGATAAACACAAGAATTAAAAAAGCGCTAGCAAAGCATCAGGCAGGCATGCCTGAACAGGGAAGCCAAACTGGGCAATATGATCCCCCCCCCCCCCCCACCTCTAAACTGTTTTGCAGATGCCTCACTCAGAAAAAACAGGTTATTTCACAGAGGGATGTGTTTGGAGAGTTTACTGTTTCCAGAGAAATTACTGAAATGCCTTTTGCTTATATTATTTGTGCATGGCAAATGGTTTAGAGACCGTGTGTTGCAAGGCTGTGTTTCCCACCGAGTACTTTACTCCAGTGCTGCACACTGTTGGAGGAGAGCATCATGATCTGCTCCCAGTGAGCTCTAGGATACTCTTTCAAGTTTCCTCCAATATCTCCATGAATTCCCATAGAGGAGCTGCCCCCAGCCTGGAGGAGAGAGGCAATGAATGGTCCGGCTCAGATGGGAAATGGACAGTTCAGCCTCTTCTCCAGATGTTCAAGCACTGGCCTCTAAAAAAGGCTGATAGAGACCTTGACAGGCCCCCAGCTCAGAAGGTGCATCAGCAAACAACCTATCAGTGGCCACGCTGCTGGGGAGCATGGACTTTACATCCCAAGCATCTGGCTGTGAAAGTGAAGTCAGGGCCCACCAGGTCTCTTCCTCCGGTTTGTTCTCCCTGCTCCAAAATCTATATACATGAATACCGCACTGTGACACCCTCCGGTTTTTGCTGAGCCCCCACACCCAGAGCTGGCTGGTGTGTGTCCCTGGCCACCAGGGCATCCTTACCAGCCAGGTGCAGTCACACGGAGAAGCTGCATGGCTTTACATCATCCACAGGTTGTTTCGCAAAACTGGAATCTAGACGGGGACTGGGAAGTTAGCGGCAGCATTTGCCCATGTAACACTAAACAGTCGCGTATCGAATGGACTGTGTGGCTAAGAGCGCTGGGATAACCATCAGCTTTCCTGTGCTCTTAGAGACCTGCTCAGATGCCAACAGACACCAGGGATCTGCAACCTGACCCGCAGCAGCCGCAGTAAGTACCAGGGCCAGGAGGACTCGTTGAGCAGCATCGGCAGCAAAGGAGAGCTGCAGATGCCGTGCGTTGGTTCGGGTTCAAAAATCAATAGCAGCGCAGCAGCGGCGGCAGCACTCGGTCGTTTCTCTGGGGTTTTCCCTCGCCGGCTCCTTTTTCTGCATTTCAGCACATTCCCGGGAGTCGGCACAGGCTTGCCTCTCGCTTCTCCTCGCACAAGCTGCCTCTTGGGGGGGCACACCCCCCCGTCTTTAAAAATCCTGAGCGAGCCATTCGCCGCAGGACTCCTCTGCACACACACATACACGTGTCACGAGCCCGGCCGGTCCTCCTGAGGCAGAGAGGTTTCATCAGCTGAGACTGCAGGTAAGTGATTCGCTTTTCTTTTCCTTCCAGCGCCAAGTGTGCCCCTGCGGCAGAGGAGAGGCGGAAGCTCAGGAGCCCCGGCGCCCGGCCGTGCGAAGGAAGAGACATCATCGCGTTAGCGAGCAAGAAGCTGAAACGCATGGACACGGCCACCCCACTGCTGCTCGGCCCGGGGGCTGTGAGACCCCCCACGCAGAGCAGCTCCCGCTTCGGCAACCTCAGCCACCGCTCCTTCTTCTCGCGCCACAACCCCCACCCGCACCGGGTGACCCACATCGCGGGTGGGTGGCGCGGGGAGGGGACAGCGGGGGCCGGGAGCAGCCGGAGGATGCTGCTGGCCCCATGCTGCTTGCAAAGCACTAGGGGACACGAGAAGGGAACGGTATCTTTTCTGAGTGATGTTTCTTGAGGCAGTTTTTTCACAGCAGCCACTTAGAGCACCAAGGGTGATAATCTGGGAATCCACACGTCCATCCTATACCTCTCTCTGTTTCCCCCTCAGATCCCTTTTGATGCATTAAGACATTCCCAGCTGAATAATTCTCATGTAAACACCCGGCAAAAGCCATCCTTTATCCCGCTTCTCGTTTAAAAATGGCAGAGACTGCAGCTCAACTCATCTAGACCGCATACCGTCCAGACTGGGGAGGGATCCTGAAGCAGAGACGCTGCAGGAACCCACCTGGCTGTGCAGGAGGAAGAGGAAGATTTGTCTGTCCATCCTGCAGAGCCGGGCACCTATAGACGTATTACCCCAGTGGGACACGACAGAATACACTGACATTTGTGTGGGCTCCTTCCTCTGATGGCCGTGCCGTTTTTTCCTCTTTTCTGCAGGCCTGAACGGCATGCCGGTGTGCGCAGTGCAGGACAGCTGACCAGCGCTGAGCCCTCTCTCCCGGATGAAGGGCCAGCTTTCTGCCTCTATCCCAGGGGTGCCGGGCAGGCAGATGCCAATCGGGGACCCCCCTAGCAAGGCAATCCCGTGGCTGACCACAGGTTAGCGCGCTCCCCACCGCGGGGTCCGGTAATCGTTGTGCCGATGAAGCCGGGTTCGGGCTGAACAGCTCCACCTTGCTGGGCTGAAACAGCTCCCGGTTCTGCTCGAGACGCTGCTGGATGGGGAAAGCAGGAGGACGTCTCTTTGCTCGCGGTTTTGAAGACTTTTGGATGTCACCGGTGTGATTTTGTGGGAGTTTCTGACAGCTCTTCAATTTTCCCAGGTGCGTTGTCAGAGGCCTGGAGGGAAGAACTGAGGGAACTCACCGCCAGAGTTGAGGCTTTCTCTCCCGCTGAAACGGCAAAGGAGGAGGCAGCAACTCAGGAAAAGGTTCTTGGAGGGGGGGAGTGTAGAAGGGCGCTTTATGGCTGAAGGTCATTTAGAAGCGAAGAGAGGAACGGAGGGGGTGACAAGGAGAAAAACCAGAATTACATTCAGTCTGAGGTTGCTCCATCACTTTTCTAAGTCCTGATCTTTGGATGTCGTTTAGGATTTCAAGGGACTTGGGGAATCTCCTTCAGGGTGAAAGGTGCAAGCGGAGGAATTCTGCTCCCAGCCCCAAGCTTTGAATTTTCCCCTCCCAAACCTGGAGCCCACACAGTGCGCATCCCTTTAGCGCGTGCTAACTCGTAGTCTCTGGAGCCCTGCGAACCCTTTCTCTGGGACACTGGAAGGCCAGCTTCCCTCTTCAAAGCCAATGCCTCCAGCAACAAAAATGAAACTCCTGAGCCAAACCAAGAACTGGTTTAACACAGTCGTTTTTCCACCTCTTGAATTGCAAGGCCAATGCTGCCTCAGCACACGGATGAGACGAGCTGGCGCTGTCCCCACTTCAACACCCAGCCCCAGCACCCAAGAGAGGCACAGCAGCAGGGGTGGACGAGGGTTTATAAGCAGCTGCAGGTCAAACCCAAGGGGCACCACTGGGGAAAGGTAGCGGCTGGGCACAGAAGAGGCAGCACTGGGCAGAAGCAAAGAAACTAGAGGGGAAGCTAGAAGGGAAGACCTCTGCAGGTTAGGAGCAAAGCGCATGTGGAAACCCAGCTGGTGGAAGATGGCACCCTTGTGGTATATGTTGGCCCCTCCTCAGACCGCACATTGCTTTTCCATTTTGGCAGGCCCAGCGGCCCCAGCGAGTGACCCAGCACTCAGCGGAGACCGGGCGGCTCATCCCACCTCCCTCGCGTGCCACCGCTCGACACTCATCCCGCCAGCTGCACCGCAAGAGCGCCAAGACCGAAGGGAAGCAAGCTGCCCTCTCCTGCCAGGACCAAGAGCTCGCAGTAAGTAAAACTGGAGCGGCCAGGCAACGAGGGCTGGGACAGAGAAGCAGACAGCAAGACCTGCCTTCACAATCTTCTGGTCCATAATAGAAAAGATAGGTGTCACTTGATAAGATTTAAAGCCACTACGGGTCGTTACATCATGTCATCTGACGTGTTGAGCAGAGGCTACAGAATTATGCCCGCTTATTCTTGCACTGCCAGAGGGGCCGTTTTCCTGAAAAGTATTCCTTCTGGGATGCAGGTTACTGAGAGATGGAGCATCCGCTGACTCCCTCGGCAATGTGTTCTGCAGTGAATCAGCCTCGCTGCTAAACTGCACGGTCTGTTCCCAGTTAAAACATGCCTGGCTTTGCCTCTCGGCCGGCGCACTGCACGAGGGGGTGCTCAGAAGCACCCGTGTGCAGGCAGGACTGGAGGAGTGGCAGCCACCTGAGGGCTTCCCCTGGCACAAAGCCCAGCTGGCTGCAGTGGGACCTGCTATGGGTTGTCCTGGTTAGTAGAAGCGAGCAGACCCTAGAGAGCTTCCTCAAGGCAGCCATGATATCCCTCGGGAGAATAACTCGTACCTTCTCCTGCTCTGTAGGTGCAGCCTGCATCCCTTGCTCTTGCCTCTATGGCCGTGCTTTTCCACTGAGTCATCCTGTAAAGATTTAACCCTGGGTGCCTGTTATGTTCTCTTCTTTATCTCCCACTTCCCTCTTTGGGCTCTCTGCATATTTTATTAGTGGGTTTTTTTGCACAGGTCTTTCCTAGAAACTCCTGAATACTAAGGGGCTGGAGCGAGTGTATAACTAAGGAGGGTCATGTAGAAGAAATGGGAAAGGAACAGAGCCCTCAGGGAGTCTTTCTTTCCCCCTCCGATCTGCCCCAGGGTGAGCAGACACTAGAAGTGGAGCTGGAAATTTCCCAGCAAGCTGAGATCTGGGCTGGGAAAGCCATGAGACCATGCAGCAGCCTCTGCAGTTCAGATCCGAGTCCCATAGCTTCCTACTGCCTCCAAGCCGAGAGACCCTGGCTTTCTTCTGGTGCTGGCACTCGCATGGCTAATGCGTTGCTGTTTCCAATAGACGTTTCTGTCAAGAATCTGCCCCCGCAAATCCCCCGTCCCATGTGCGGGTACCCATGGATGGGGAGGCTGGGCACCAGCAGAGCCTGAGGAGCCTGTGGCCATTCAGGACTGGTGGCTGGTCATGCTTCCTGCCAGCCAAGACCATGTGTTCAGGCTTGCAGCTGAGGGTCTTTCGTGCAATAATCTCCATTTCCTCCACCCTGCTTACAGCTCTGCAAGTTAGGCTTTTGGGCAGGGTGACCACCCTTTGCCAAAGTCCGCCCTGATGTCATAACTAGGTGACCAAGGTCCCTGTGTGTGCCTCGCTGACCCGTCGCGTGATCCAGGCACGGCCTGGGGCGCAGCGACCCGACTACGCTGACCATTTCTACTATGCTCTTCTGCCAACAGGTTTTGGAGCTGCTGTGTCAGATCCTGCAGACATACTCCTTGATGGCAGTTCAGCAGTGGCTGCTCACAGCTGGGCCGAGGGGTGAGGACAACCAGGAACATGAGGGCTGGAGACCAGGGTGAGGGGCAAGGGATCCCATCTCTGTCCTCAAAACTTGCCACTCTCATTACTTCGGCTGGGCATGCTTTGAAATTCAGCATTTCGTATCTCATGGAGCCCAAAGCTCCCTGCCACACACATCCCCTGGGAGGAGAAATGCTGTGACAAGAAATTTCTTGGCACTTTCTAATCCCTGTCTCTGTAACGCCTGCCCTTTGCCAGGGGTCCATTCTGCTGCTGATTACTTTTTTGATGTTTTGGATACTTCCCAAGGGAATCCAGAGCTAGCTCAAAAAGGTTGTTTACATTTGAAAGACATTGGTCAACGTTTTCAGCTACGAAATTTCCACTTCTGTGAAGCAACCACTCACCCCCAGGAAGTCATAAGTGCTCAGTGCTTCAGAAACTGAGGTTAGCTGCTTACCTAGTCATTTTGGCTTCAGCTGCCCAATATTTGGCACAGCCACTTTGGCTCTAAGTTTTAGGTGCTAGTTGCAGATAAACCCCCAGACAGCATTCAACTAAGAAAGTATGATGATGGGGAGGTAGATGTCCTTGACCGCACGGCACGGATTTAATTTATTAGAAGAGCATTTGCACTGGCAGCGTGCACCAGGAAGGAGGTGGGAGATCATGTCTCTCTTGGGTGATACGGTGAGGGCTGAGGGGCTGGAGGAGCACCCAGGTGTTTAGCAGCACTATTTTTAGGACAACAGATCTGTCCATAGATCTGCGATATCGCGAAAGCCGTCCTCCCGAGAGCACGGCGTCCCCAGAGGCTGTGTGATTCTCACCCTGTCCTGCATGGTACGGATGGTGGGCATGAAAGCGGAGATTTTTGGAGCAGGGAGGGCAAAGATGGAAGGAAGGAAAACCGGAGGTAAAGATAAAGGCTTTGGGGAGAAAGTTTAGCAAATCAGAGACCTTATACAAGTCGGTTAATTTCAAAGCGAGTAGAAGTCAAAAGTGAAAGTCCAGAAAGCAGGGGGAAAGAGGGCTGGCTTACAACACCAGGGCCAAGGCTCTTAGTGCAACGGTGGAAACGCGCTGCTTTCTGCTTCCTCTTTGTCCCCCTCTTCTTTCAGAGAAGGACATTGCCGTGGGCTTGTTGCAGGCTACAACTGCCACCCTCCAGCTGGAGCTGCAGGTCCTGAGCACGGGCACGGGGGACAGCGCGGGGTCCCAGGCATCCCAGAGCACAGCGGGCATCTCCTCCGGGGGCCAGCGCAGCGGGAGGAACCAGCCAGGCAGGTACCTGCAGGGGGTTTCCAGGAGAGGACTGGGGAGACCCACACTTTGGGACCCACGTATGGGAAGAGAAACATCAAGGGGTCCTAACCAGATTAATCTTGCACAAACACTTTATTCCTCCTCCTTTTGGTGGGTCAAAGCTCACTAACGTTTACGGCAGGCCTGTGACTTTGTTAGCACGTGGGATGAAAGCACAGGATATGGGTAAACCGTGTAGTGGTGCTGGGCAGCAGACCCACAGCCGCCGTATTATATAGTCACTACAGAGAGGACAGACACAGCGACCAAGCACAACACTGAGCAACAGGCTAAGCCACCTGTCCTTCATATCTGTGACTCGCACCGGGAATATAAAGCATCTAATTTCTTCTGCTCTCTCACAGATACTCCCAGCGACAGAAGCAAGAACCAGTTCCACAGGAAGAGAAACCAGGTACAAATAGGCCTTAAAACGCGTTGCGTTTGTTACCCACGCGCTTTGCATCCCAGGCTTTTGCGGTAGCCTTGCAAACCTGGACCAAGGTAGCCTCAGCGGACGCTCAGGCAGAGAAGCCTTGTTCCAGTGACTGCCCAAGCTGCACGTCACTCGGCGAGTGTGATTCATTTCTAAGCACACATCAAAGCCTGAGCTAGGTATTAAATTTCCTACATAATTGATGGAGTTAAATAAATACCATCAGAGGGAGATTAATGTCACTGTAAGGCAGTGTCCAAGATACGTGGCACATAGCATCCTCCAAAGACACCTCTCTTTTCTCCTTCGGTTTTAGAAGGATCCTGGATGGCTGGTTTAGTCTAGAGACCTCATTCAGGAACTTAGCAATAAATCCCATCCCTGGCGACTTTCTAGCTATGCGACCTCTTTTCCTGCCTATTGCCATCTCATTATGAATGTGAAATTATAACAGAGCAGGTAAAGAAATGCCAGCGGGAGCGAGCAGTAGCCCAGGCTGGGGGAGCAGGTTTCCTCCCGCCAGGATTTGGGTGCGGGACAGCAGATAAATTCCCTTTCTTAGGATTGCTGGGAAAATTCTGCCAAGTGACTAGCACAAGGTTTTGCTGCTCAGGCTCCCCTGCAGGCAGAAGTCAGCAGTCCAGAGCTCCACGCAGCAGAGCCGGTTGCACCTCGTCGGCGTCCCACACTCTTGGAATGACATAGCATCAAATCTAAACAAGCCAACCTGCCTTAGCATCCAAAGTTCAGTCCCCGTTTGAGACCTCCTTATCAGCATGCTCTTTTTTCACAAGCTATTTCTGTTTGCCCTTCCTGGCCAGGTAGCATGTTTTTCTGCAATCAGCAAGCACTCTGGAGCCTCGTTTTTAGATGGGACTTAGGCCCTTAGAAGCCTCAGCCGCTTTGCTCTTCTAAATATTTCACTTTTCCCACCCTAGCCAAAGGGCTAAATTTCTTGGTGTTCAGCAGAACTTTAATCCTTCCCAAATGTGTTTTTCTTCTTCCGTGCACACTGGCACAGCAGAAGTCCTCCAGGTCCATTCGTCCCAGGAGGAGAAGCCAAGGCAGCCAAACCCTACCAACTAATGGTGTCACAGTCCTGTGGGAGGAACCGCTATCACATCAGCCACTGCACCTGAAATGCTTTATTCTCTACATAGCACAAAGAGCTCATGTAACAAGCTGTACGGTCTCGGCATCACCTAGATCCTCTCTCCTTGCTTTTACTTCGTACGCTGAGATGCACCGAAATTAACTGCAACCTAGTTACTGACCCACTCGGTCCTGCAGTGACCCCTTCATGGAGTTTCTAAAATTGTCCACGGCTACAGGGGTGCCTGAAGTCCAGCTACACTTGCACGGTTTATTATTCAGAGGGATGGCAGAGGAAAGCTGGCCTTGTGTTGACAGCCCTTCCAGGCATAGGCAAGGCAGCAAGCCTGGACGTGGGTTGACTCTGCCTGAAAAGACGGGCCTTCACACATCTCACCCCTTCCTCTGAGACGGCAGAGCACAGAGCAGATGCTCACCCTCCGATCCCTGCGCAAAAAGGGGCCAAGCGCCGCACTCCTGCCTGCGTGCCCCCACCTTCTTGGCATAAGCAACCTCCATAAATACATACCTGACCCTCCTAATTTGTGCTAAACGTAAAGCTTCGGCTGAAATCGCAGCCCTGCAGAGCCCCTCAGAGCAACGGTGGACAGGACCGAGCAGGACCAGCAGCGCAGGACCCTGCGCGCCCACGCTGTCCCAAGCCCTGCACTGCTTCGTGTGGTCCCTGCTGCTTTCTGAATAAAAATCCTGTTGGGAATCACATCCTCAGGTTGGTGGATGGGTTTTGGCCTGGCTAGTCAGAACCTGTCTCATATAAAGGGCAGTAAATACAGCAAGGCAAAGCTCCCCCCTCCACCCCCAAATCCTGGCACTGAAGCCTTCCCCCGCCCCAGTTTCCTCCAGTTCACACAAATTTCCATCTCTACCCCTTCAACCAAATGAAATGCAAAGCTCCGGGAAGGGAAGAGCCGTCACCACCCTCCGCGCAGCCCGGCGCAGGGTGTCCCGCGGAGGTGACAAGCAGCTCGCGGAGCACAGGGGGGGGCCGCACCGA